GGCCACGCTACGATCTTACAGAAAGAACACCAGCGTATAAAAGCAATATAACGCTACCGTCGCTGTATTGGTCTTCAATCCTCAAGCAATCTGCATTTTGATTCATAACCGTGGAACGACACGGTGGACTATGTGCTAATTTGACGCATGCACTTAGGTATAATATAAAATACCTACTGTGTGAAGAAGGTAAGACTACGATACTGTAAATTAAATTAACCTAGGTAAATATGCTGTGCTGTGTTTTTATAGAATAATTTCAATTTCTTTTATATGCCACTTTAGATAATCCTCCACCTCGGCGCGACGGCGCTCTTTCCGAACTGACTCTTAGCATATTTAATAAACGACGACGATCGACGAGTAAGTTTAGTAATATTTTATTTAGAATAAACCATAAGGCAAAACTAAAAACAAGCGTGGGAATAAGGAGATTATGCAAAAAGCCAACATCACGCGGTGTTCCCAGGCGGTCACCCATCCAAGTACTGACCGCGCCCGACGTTGCTTAACTTCGGTGATCGGACGAGAACCGGTGTATTCAACGTGGTATGGACGTTGGCGACTGAACTTCTTCACTGTGGAGAGGTATTCTGCTAATCGCCTTAGGTTATCAATCTTAGGCGATTGCCTAGGGTTAGGTAAATGGTCTAAGGGTATACCATACGTACTCGTACGCTCGCACGTAAAACGCATTCTGACAACCAAATTTTTGACATTACTAGGTACTACTCCTTTGATGATCTAGGTACTATTAAAGCACTGGATGCGTTATGTACATATTATATGTATTTACCTAGGAACAATTCTACAACATAGGTACCTACTCGTAATTATTAACAAGTAATTGATATCATAGCTAATATTTAAAAACGGTGTGTCTGAAAAGCAATCAAGCCAATACAGCACGCCAAGGATCTAATGGATAGATAGATATAGGCTTGAGTCTCTTATGTAGGTATGATTGATTTAATATGTGTATAATGTGATGATGTATGGAATAAAAAAAATGTTTACGTATTTATTTATATTAAACTGTTACTCTGTATTTATGTGCTATGTGCCCAGTCAGAAGGGATACTTACCTAGTAAAAAAAATAATAAAATAGAATAATCAATGAAAAAATAGCAAAAAGCCAACATCACGCGGTGTTCCCAGGCGGTCACCCATCCAAGTACTGACCGCGCCCGACGTTGCTTAACTTCGGTGATCGGACGAGAACCGGTGTATTCAACGTGGTATGGACGTTGGCGAACATGAAGCTGTAATTGGGGAACAACACATACTGCGTTCAACTGACCTACCTACGTTGAATTGGCTCGTAAGTAAGTAGGAGAGATTAATATATCATTTCAAACGTACGATTCACGTATGATTGAAAAACGTATTATTAGTCAGGTGGAAGTGGAAGGTGGTAAAAGGTAAACAGAAGATCAGGCGACACGACGACATCGATTCGAGCAGAGTAGAGTAGAGTAAGTACAATCCGAGCGGTGCGGTGCGGTGCGGTGCGATGAACGTGCGGAGGAGCGTGCGGTGAGTGGCGACGGTGAAGCACTAGCGAGGAGCGAGGTAGCAGCGCAGCGCAGCGCCGCGCCGGCAGAGTCCGGTCCGTTCCGTTCTGTCCGCGCAGAGCGGGGCCAACAGTGGACGGCGAGCAGTGCGCCCAGGTGCTGCGCCCTATCGAGAGCGGCTAGCGGCAGGGCGCGCGGCTGATGGAGGGTGGCGAGCGCGCGGGCCACGTGGGCTACTTCGTGCAGCCGACCGTATTCTGCGACGTGCGCGACCACATGGACATCGCGCGCCGAGAGATCTTCGGTCCGGTGCAGCAGATCATGAAGTTCTCGCAGATCGACGAGCTGCTGGAGCGCGCCAACGACACGTACTACGGCCTCGCCGCCGCCCTCTTCACCGGCGACTTGGACAAGGCCAACTATCTCATCCAGGTACCTACCTACCTCTCTCTATCTTTTAATTATATTATTATAATACGTATAGTAGATATACTTACTAATTACTAATTAGTAATTATAGTAGTTGACTGTTGTTGAGTGATGAATGTTTACAGAATTTGAGCGTTTCTCTGTCGAACAGGGCCTGCGCGCCGGCACCGTTTGGGTGAACGACTACAACGTTTTCGGCAACCAAGTGCCGTTCGGCGGCTACAAGCAGTACGGCATCGGCCGCGAGAACGGACCCTACGGTATACGCAATTAAACCGAGGTGAAGAGCGTCATCGTAAAGATCACCGAGAAAAACTCGTAATTTCCCGTCGAACCCACACCGAACCACCAGACCCGATCTATTCGATCGAAGCCCGTTGCTCATTATACCTCGTTGTCAGTCATTCATCATATTTACGTTTTTGGTGATGATCATAATTATTATATCCAATAATGAGAATGGCGCCGACCATACCTATTCTGAAAGTTTAACATTCAATTTCATCAGAGTTTATTAAGCCCGCACAAACGACACACAGCACAAACACGAAATAATTAAAATAATAGTCATCCATTTTAGAATAAGCCTAATACTATTTGTTAGGGTTAAGCTCAAGGAATATGAAAACTGTACACAAATAAATATTATATTTTATTCTTAAAATTTCTATTCTTTAATTTTTAACTTTAAACCTATACACACTTGAAGTCGAGCCTTGGCTTTCAGCACGTTCCTACACTATAAAATACTATAAAATCTGTGTAATGTTTTCTTCGGCAATTATTAGATAGAAAATAAATTGAATCGCTTGAAAATGATGGAAAATAAATCACAATGAAAATAATATTTGCTTTACGTACCTATATAAATTTAAAAATAATAAATTTTCGGTTTTTATTTGTTAATCAAAACTTCAACGCCATCTACATTATATTATTGGCATACGTAGAATCTAACAAAGTTTTTGTAAAACTTCCGTTAGGTGCCGCCACAGTGGCACTTAAGCCTCCTGAAATAATAGAAGGTTAGTAGAAAAAAGGCTTAGACGGTTCTTTTGCTGGAATCTAAGGCATAAAGAATCGACGAGACGGGACTTGAGGTCGCTGAAATGTCTTTAGTAGCGTTTTCGTTGTGTAATCTTTTAATTAAGTAATCACATACAATGATGTGTTACGGTAGAGCCACAGGCCAGATAGAGAAATGTAGAGCCACGTCGCAGTTGTATTGTTGAGAATGCAACAAGAATTGGTCGGCTCCTCCGGGAAAGGGCCACGCTACGATCTTACAGAAAGAACACCAGCGTATAAAAGCAATATAACGCTACCGTCGCTGTATTGGTCTTCAATCCTCAAGCAATCTGCATTTTGATTCATAACCGTGGAACGACACGGTGGACTATGTGCTAATTTGACGCATGCACTTAGGTATAATATAAAATACCTACTGTGTGAAGAAGGTAAGACTACGATACTGTAAATTAAATTAACCTAGGTAAATATGCTGTGCTGTGTTTTTATAGAATAATTTCAATTTCTTTTATATGCCACTTTAGATAATCCTCCACCTCGGCGCGACGGCGCTCTTTCCGAACTGACTCTTAGCATATTTAATAAACGACGACGATCGACGAGTAAGTTTAGTAATATTTTATTTAGAATAAACCATAAGGCAAAACTAAAAACAAGCGTGGGAATAAGGAGATTATGCAAAAAGCCAACATCACGCGGTGTTCCCAGGCGGTCACCCATCCAAGTACTGACCGCGCCCGACGTTGCTTAACTTCGGTGATCGGACGAGAACCGGTGTATTCAACGTGGTATGGACGTTGGCGACTGAACTTCTTCACTGTGGAGAGGTATTCTGCTAATCGCCTTAGGTTATCAATCTTAGGCGATTGTCTAGGGTTAGGTAAATGGTCTAAGGGTATACCATACGTACTCGTACGCTCGCACGTAAAACGCATTCTGACAACCAAATTTTTGACATTACTAGGTACTACTCCTTTGATGATCTAGGTACTATTAAAGCACTGGATGCGTTATGTACATATTATATGTATTTACCTAGGAACAATTCTACAACATAGGTACCTACTCGTAATTATTAACAAGTAATTGATATCATAGCTAATATTTAAAAACGGTGTGTCTGAAAAGCAATCAAGCCAATACAGCACGCCAAGGATCTAATGGATAGATAGATATAGGCTTGAGTCTCTTATGTAGGTATGATTGATTTAATATGTGTATAATGTGATGATGTATGGAATAAAAAAAATGTTTACGTATTTATTTATATTAAACTGTTACTCTGTATTTATGTGCTATGTGCCCAGTCAGAAGGGATACTTACCTAGTAAAAAAATAATAAAATAGAATAATCAATGAAAAAATAGCAAAAAGCCAACATCACGCGGTGTTCCCAGGCGGTCACCCATCCAAGTACTGACCGCGCCCGACGTTGCTTAACTTCGGTGATCGGACGAGAACCGGTGTATTCAACGTGGTATGGACGTTGGCGAACGTGAAGCTGTAATTGGGGAAGCAACACATACTGCGTTCAACTGACCTACCTACGTTGAATTGGCTCGTAAGTAAGTAGGAGAGATTAATATATCATTTCAAACGTACGATTCACGTATGATTGAAAAACGTATTATTAGTCAGGTGGAAGTGGAAGGTGGTAAAAGGTAAACAGAAGATCAGGCGACACGACGACATCGATTCGAGCAGAGTAGAGTAGAGTAAGTACAATCCGAGCGGTGCGGTGCGGTGGTGCGATGAACGTGCGGAGGAGCGTGCGGTGAGCGGCGACGGTGAAGCACTAGCGAGGAGCGAGGTAGCAGCGCAGCGCAGCGCCGCGCCGGCAGAGTCCGGTCCGTTCCGTTCTGTCCGCGCGAGCGGGGCCCACAGTGGACGGCGAGCAGTGCGCCCGGGTGCTGCGCCCTATCGAGAGCGGCAAGCGGCAGGGCGCGCGGCTGATGGAGGGTGGCGAGCGCGCGGGCCACGTGGGCTACTTCGTGCAGCCGACCGTATTCTGCGACGTGCGCGACCACATGGACATCGCGCGCCGAGAGATCTTCGGTCCGGTGCAGCAGATCATGAAGTTCTCGCAGATCGACGAGCTGCTGGAGCGCGCCAACGACACGTACTACGGCCTCGCCGCCGCCCTCTTCACCGGCGACTTGGACAAGGCCAACTATCTCATCCAGGTACCTACCTACCTCTCTCTATCTTTTAATTATATTATTATAATACGTATAGTAGATATACTTACTAATTACTAATTAGTAATTATAGTAGTTGACTGTTGTTGAGTGATGAATGTTTACAGAATTTGAGCGTTTCTCTGTCGAACAGGGCCTGCGCGCCGGCACCGTTTGGGTGAACGACTACAACGTTTTCGGCAACCAAGTGCCGTTCGGCGGCTACAAGCAGTACGGCATCGGCCGCGAGAACGGACCCTACGGTATACGCAATTAAACCGAGGTGAAGAGCGTCATCGTAAAGATCACCGAGAAAAACTCGTAATTTCCCGTCGAACCCACACCGAACCACCAGACCCGATCTATTCGATCGAAGCCCGTTGCTCATTATACCTCGTTGTCAGTCATTCATCATATTTACGTTTTTGGTGATGATCATAATTATTATATCCAATAATGAGAATGGCGCCGACCATACCTATTCTGAAAGTTTAACATTCAATTTCATCAGAGTTTATTAAGCCCGCACAAACGACACACAGCACAAACACGAAATAATTAAAATAATAGTCATCCATTTTAGAATAAGCCTAATACTATTTGTTAGGGTTAAGCTCAAGGAATATGAAAACTGTACACAAATAAATATTATATTTTATTCTTAAAATTTCTATTCTTTAATTTTTAACTTTAAACCTATACACACTTGAAGTCGAGCCTTGGCTTTCAGCACGTTCCTACACTATAAAATACTATAAAATCTGTGTAATGTTTTCTTCGGCAATTATTAGATAGAAAATAAATTGAATCGCTTGAAAATGATGGAAAATAAATCACAATGAAAATAATATTTGCTTTACGTACCTATATAAATTTAAAAATAATAAATTTTCGGTTTTTATTTGTTAATCAAAACTTCAACGCCATCTACATTATATTATTGGCATACGTAGAATCTAACAAAGTTTTTGTAAAACTTCCGTTAGGTGCCGCCACAGTGGCACTTAAGCCTCCTGAAATAATAGAAGGTTAGTAGAAAAAAGGCTTAGACGGTTCTTTTGCTGGAATCTAAGGCATAAAGAATCGACGAGACGGGACTTGAGGTCGCTGAAATGTCTTTAGTAGCGTTTTCGTTGTGTAATCTTTTAATTAAGTAATCACACACAATGATGTGTTACGGTAGAGCCACAGGCCAGATAGAGAAATGTAGAGCCACGTCGCAGTTGTATTGTTGAGAATGCAACAAGAATTGGTCGGCTCCTCCGGGAAAGGGCCACGCTACGATCTTACAGAAAGAACACCAGCGTATAAAAGCAATATAACGCTACCGTCGCTGTATTGGTCTTCAATCCTCAAGCAATCTGCATTTTGATTCATAACCGTGGAACGACACGGTGGACTATGTGCTAATTTGACGCATGCACTTAGGTATAATATAAAATACCTACTGTGTGAAGAAGGTAAGACTACGATACTGTAAATTAAATTAACCTAGGTAAATATGCTGTGCTGTGTTTTTATAGAATAATTTCAATTTCTTTTATATGCCACTTTAGATAATCCTCCACCTCGGCGCGACGGCGCTCTTTCCGAACTGACTCTTAGCATATTTAATAAACGACGACGATCGACGAGTAAGTTTAGTAATATTTTATTTAGAATAAACCATAAGGCAAAACTAAAAACAAGCGTGGGAATAAGGAGATTATGCAAAAAGCCAACATCACGCGGTGTTCCCAGGCGGTCACCCATCCAAGTACTGACCGCGCCCGACGTTGCTTAACTTCGGTGATCGGACGAGAACCGGTGTATTCAACGTGGTATGGACGTTGGCGACTGAACTTCTTCACTGTGGAGAGGTATTCTGCTAATCGCCTTAGGTTATCAATCTTAGGCGATTGTCCTAGGGTTAGGTAAATGGTCTAAGGGTATACCATACGTACTCGTACGCTCGCACGTAAAACGCATTCTGACAACCAAATTTTTGACATTACTAGGTACTACTCCTTTGATGATCTAGGTACTATTAAAGCACTGGATGCGTTATGTACATATTATATGTATTTACCTAGGAACAATTCTACAACATAGGTACCTACTCGTAATTATTAACAAGTAATTGATATCATAGCTAATATTTAAAAACGGTGTGTCTGAAAAGCAATCAAGCCAATACAGCACGCCAAGGATCTAATGGATAGATAGATATAGGCTTGAGTCTCTTATGTAGGTATGATTGATTTAATATGTGTATAATGTGATGATGTATGGAATAAAAAAAATGTTTACGTATTTATTTATATTAAACTGTTACTCTGTATTTATGTGCTATGTGCCCAGTCAGAAGGGATACTTACCTAGTAAAAAAAATAATAAAATAGAATAATCAATGAAAAAATAGCAAAAAGCCAACATCACGCGGTGTTCCCAGGCGGTCACCCATCCAAGTACTGACCGCGCCCGACGTTGCTTAACTTCGGTGATCGGACGAGAACCGGTGTATTCAACGTGGTATGGACGTTGGCGAACATGAAGCTGTAATTGGGGAACAACACATACTGCGTTCAACTGACCTACCTACGTTGAATTGGCTCGTAAGTAAGTAGGAGAGATTAATATATCATTTCAAACGTACGATTCACGTATGATTGAAAAACGTATTATTAGTCAGGTGGAAGTGGAAGGTGGTAAAAGGTAAACAGAAGATCAGGCGACACGACGACATCGATTCGAGCAGAGTAGAGTAGAGTAAGTACAATCCGAGCGGTGCGGTGCGATGAACGTGCGGAGGAGCGTGCGGTGAGCGGCGACGGTGAAGCACTAGCGAGGAGCGAGGTAGCAGCGCAGCGCCGCGCCGGCAGAGTCCGGTCCGTTCCGTTCTGTCCGCGCCGAGCGGGGCCCACAGTGGACGGCGAGCAGTGCGCCCGGGTGCTGCGCCCTATCGAGAGCGGCAAGCGGCAGGGCGCGCGGCTGATGGAGGGTGGCGAGCGCGCGGGCCACGTGGGCTACTTCGTGCAGCCGACCGTATTCTGCGACGTGCGCGACCACATGGACATCGCGCGCCGAGAGATCTTCGGTCCGGTGCAGCAGATCATGAAGTTCTCGCAGATCGACGAGCTGCTGGAGCGCGCCAACGACACGTACTACGGCCTCGCCGCCGCCCTCTTCACCGGCGACTTGGACAAGGCCAACTATCTCATCCAGGTACCTACCTACCTCTCTCTATCTTTTAATTATATTATTATAATACGTATAGTAGATATACTTACTAATTACTAATTAGTAATTATAGTAGTTGACTGTTGTTGAGTGATGAATGTTTACAGAATTTGAGCGTTTCTCTGTCGAACAGGGCCTGCGCGCCGGCACCGTTTGGGTGAACGACTACAACGTTTTCGGCAACCAAGTGCCGTTCGGCGGCTACAAGCAGTACGGCATCGGCCGCGAGAACGGACCCTACGGTATACGCAATTAAACCGAGGTGAAGAGCGTCATCGTAAAGATCACCGAGAAAAACTCGTAATTTCCCGTCGAACCCACACCGAACCACCAGACCCGATCTATTCGATCGAAGCCCGTTGCTCATTATACCTCGTTGTCAGTCATTCATCATATTTACGTTTTTGGTGATGATCATAATTATTATATCCAATAATGAGAATGGCGCCGACCATACCTATTCTGAAAGTTTAACATTCAATTTCATCAGAGTTTATTAAGCCCGCACAAACGACACACAGCACAAACACGAAATAATTAAAATAATAGTCATCCATTTTAGAATAAGCCTAATACTATTTGTTAGGGTTAAGCTCAAGGAATATGAAAACTGTACACAAATAAATATTATATTTTATTCTTAAAATTTCTATTCTTTAATTTTTAACTTTAAACCTATACACACTTGAAGTCGAGCCTTGGCTTTCAGCACGTTCCTACACTATAAAATACTATAAAATCTGTGTAATGTTTTCTTCGGCAATTATTAGATAGAAAATAAATTGAATCGCTTGAAAATGATGGAAAATAAATCACAATGAAAATAATATTTGCTTTACGTACCTATATAAATTTAAAAATAATAAATTTTCGGTTTTTATTTGTTAATCAAAACTTCAACGCCATCTACATTATATTATTGGCATACGTAGGAATCTAACAAAGTTTTTGTAAAACTTCCGTTAGGTGCCGCCACAGTGGCACTTAAGCCTCCTGAAATAATAGAAGGTTAGTAGAAAAAAGGCTTAGACGGTTCTTTTGCTGGAATCTAAGGCATAAAGAATCGACGAGACGGGACTTGAGGTCGCTGAAATGTCTTTAGTAGCGTTTTCGTTGTGTAATCTTTTAATTAAGTAATCACACACAATGATGTGTTACGGTAGAGCCACAGGCCAGATAGAGAAATGTAGAGCCACGTCGCAGTTGTATTGTTGAGAATGCAACAAGAATTGGTCGGCTCCTCCGGGAAAGGGGCCACGCTACGATCTTACAGAAAGAACACCAGCGTATAAAAGCAATATAACGCTACCGTCGCTGTATTGGTCTTCAATCCTCAAGCAATCTGCATTTTGATTCATAACCGTGGAACGACACGGTGGACTATGTGCTAATTTGACGCATGCACTTAGGTATAATATAAAATACCTACTGTGTGAAGAAGGTAAGACTACGATACTGTAAATTAAATTAACCTAGGTAAATATGCTGTGCTGTGTTTTTATAGAATAATTTCAATTTCTTTTATATGCCACTTTAGATAATCCTCCACCTCGGCGCGACGGCGCTCTTTCCGAACTGACTCTTAGCATATTTAATAAACGACGACGATCGACGAGTAAGTTTAGTAATATTTTATTTAGAATAAACCATAAGGCAAAACTAAAAACAAGCGTGGGAATAAGGAGATTATGCAAAAAGCCAACATCACGCGGTGTTCCCAGGCGGTCACCCATCCAAGTACTGACCGCGCCCGACGTTGCTTAACTTCGGTGATCGGACGAGAACCGGTGTATTCAACGTGGTATGGACGTTGGCGACTGAACTTCTTCACTGTGGAGAGGTATTCTGCTAATCGCCTTAGGTTATCAATCTTAGGCGATTGCCTAGGGTTAGGTAAATGGGCTAAGGGTATACCATACGTACTCGTACGCTCGCACGTAAAACGCATTCTGACAACCAAATTTTTAACAATACTAGGTACTACTCCTTTGATGCTCTAGGTACTATTAAAGCACTGGATGCGTTATGTACATATTATATGTATTTACCTAGGAACAA